TTTTTTAATCCTGTGCATGTGATCCAATGTGGAACATGTAATAAGCCTACTGTTTTACCAATTGCAAGACGATAATAGTCTGGTGAATCTTCTTCTCTAAAATCATCTTTTTCAATATAAATTACTTTGCTAAATGGTACTACATGCTAAAAAAATTATTTATTTGTTTGTTATTAATATATCATCCATCATGTGTATGTTGAAAATTTTTTTTTGTAATAATTAAAGATTCTCTCTATATATGAAATAGTTACCTCTCCCATAGATGTATCTCTTGGTTTGAAAGGAACAATCAACTCTTCGACATAATCATCAGGTAGATTTTCAATTATTACTTTAATAGGATCTATAATGACCATTAATCTTGGAACATTGACATCTAAATAATTACGAATATATTTTTCAAAACGTGATACTTGAATTGTTGAATTTGATGTAGTCACACCAAGTTCTAAAACAAATTGATTAATGGCTTCTGGTGGGACACCACGTCTTCTTAAAGCTGGTAGTGTATATAGCCGTGGATCATCCCAACCATTTACATATTTTTCATTAACTAGTCTTGCTATTTTTCGTTTTGATAAAACTGTATTATTAATATTCAATCTACCAATCAATCAGTCAACCAACCAACCAACCAATTAATATATATATAATAGTTGTATAATATTTTTTAAAAAATTAATAAAATAATGATAATTAACCTGTTATACTCAAATTGAACAGGCTTATATACTTCAAGAGCATCACATAGCCAATAATAAGATTCACGAGCTGTCCGGAATTCAAGTGTACAAAGTGAATGTGTAATATTTTCAAAAGAGTCACAAAGACAATGTGTGAAATCATAAGTTGGATAAATACACCATTTGGTTCCAGTTCTATGATGTGGTGTGTGCAAAACACGATACGCAACCAAATCCCAAAATTGTGGATTTCCACTTTGCATGTCCATCTTCATACGAATGGTTACCTCTTCCTCCTTGTACTTTCCCTCCTTCATTTTTTGAAATTCAGCTAGTGATTCTTCAATTGGACGATTACGATGCACACACTCTTTACGTTCTCCATGATCATCACCACCTCGCATCTGTTTCATTTCATCAGGTGTACATGAACATGCATATGCTTTATCACGTTTAATTGATTCTATTGCCAATTCATAAAGGTTGTCAAAATAATCAGAAGAATATGTGATCTTGTATGGTGAAAACCCTAACCATTCTACTGCTTCTCTAATAGAAGTAAAATAAATCTCTTCCTCAGCTATCATTAGATAAAACAATGCATTAATATAAAATATATATGTGTGTGTGTGCATTAAAATTTCTTTTTAATTAATTGATTTATTGATTTAAAAGTGCAAACAAGACTTTTACCTTCAGGATTAGTGTCATCATATCTATTAATGTTAATTTATTATATAGTAAATATCATTGATAAATTAATCATCTTAGTTTAATGTTATTGATTCAAACCTTAGATAACATATTCCATCATATGCTTTAGCATATCCAAAATTTACATTGATAGCTTTTGCATGACCAATATGTAAAAATCCATTAGGTTCTGGAGGAAATCGAGTTACCACCTTACCACCAGTTTCTTTCAAATGTTGTTCCATTAACTCAGGTTTAATTTGTGGATTACCACCTGGTTTATGAAGTTTTGCAAGCTCTCCCTCAGTAAAAATGATAGGGACTGCATTAGTTTTCGGTTTTACTTCTGATTGACTCATTTTTTAAAATTTTATTTTTATGATTGATTTGTCGATTGTATTCATAATAATAGTGGGAGTATCACAAAAATTTGTACAATAAAATCATTTTTAAAATTTTTAAATTTATCTCCAAAAAAAAAAAAGAAAAAATGTCAACGAAAACTTCAGGGAAGCCTCTTCCATTACAATGTGCTAGAACATTTACCGCACATACAGGACCTGTACATATAGCAAAATATAATTCGACTGGTGAATATGTGCTTAGCGCTGGGCAAGATAAATTAATACGTCTGTGGAATCCTGAAACAGGACTAAATATAAAAACCTATTCAGGACACGGAAAAGAAATTTTGGATATTAGTATGTATGTATGTATGTATCAAAAATATTAGAGGATATGATTGATTAGTTAGTTAATTAAGTTTTCTACAGAACTAGTGATCATACACGTTTTGTATCGTGTGGTGGTGATCGACAAGTATTTTATTGGGATGTTTCAACTGGTAGAACTATTTCACGTTTTGATGGACATTCCCAGGTACATATCATATATCGTTTTAAAAGAATGAGTACATATATTCACTTTGTTATATTAAGAATAAATCTATTTTATTTAGCGAATCAATTCAGTTGATTTCAATTTTGATGGAAGTGTGATAGCTAGTGGTAATTATCTATTTTCAAACTGGTGAATAATATTGCTTAATATTCAATACATAAAATACTTAATAATAATAAATAATAAATTTATTTTCACAAAAATTTTTTATAGGATCATTTGATACAACTATACGATTATGGGATTGCAAGTAATATTCATAATAACAATCATAATATTCATATAATCAATAATATTCATTAATATGTATGTACATGTACATTTGCATTTTTTTTGTAGAGCAAGATCACGATCACCAATTCAAATATTAAGTGAAGCTAAAGATAGTATTACATCACTACTAGTTAAAGATTATGAGATTGTAGCAGGAAGCACTGATGGTAACATTATGATTTATGATCTTCGTATGGGAGCTTTATTAACTGATTATATTTCACGTGAGTCTTTAACATATTCACTATATATATTGGTCATTACATTATAAAACTAATTAATTATTATTAAAAAAAAAAGACCCTGTAACATCAGTTACTTTATCAGGTGATAATAATTGTATACTTGCTAGCTCTTTAGATAGTGTCATAAGATTAATGGATAAGGAGAATGGTAGCATGTTAAATGAGTACGTACTAAAACTACAAAAACATCTACAATTATTTCACATTAACTAATAAAATTATTTTTAGTTTTAAAGGTCACAAGAATTCAACTTACAAGATTCATTCATGTTTATCAAATGATGATTCTCGAATTATCAGTGGATCTGAAGATGGATCTATTTATATTTGGGATTTGTTAGATGTATTATCAACTATATTATTTTTTTTTTTAAGATTATTTAATTTTAAACTTGCTCCCAATCTAATCATATATTTATATAGGGAAATCTATTAAAAACAATTGAAGCACATTCGGGCATAGTGACTTATGTAACATATCATCCTAGAATAGATGGGATGCTATCATCTAGTATAGACGGATTAGTGAAAGTATGGAAACCTTGAAATAAAAAATATATTTTGAGGTATTACAAATTTTTTTAATTCAAAAATCATTTGCAAATGATAAGATGTATATAAATAATTTATAATTTATAAATCTTATTACTATCTATTTTTAATTTATCTAATTCATTTAAGTTATCCCACCATTCAAACAGAAAATTTTCAACGATAAGTTTAAACCATGGTGTAAATATCCAATCTATTGATAATGATTAAAAGAAATAAATAAATAAATAAATGTTCAAAAACAATCATAATATAATTTGCTTACCTTTTGGATCACTAAATTTAGATTGTAATTCATCTTTAGAAAAATATTTTGTTTCTTTAACTTCATTTAGATTTATGTTAAGATCAACATTTGTACGAATAATCAGAATATAATCAACTAATGATTCATTTCAAAAAAAAATTTTTTTAATATCTCAAAATAAAGATATTATTTTTTTAATTAAAGATATATTTATTTACTTTCATGTTCGCCCCAAATATCATCAGATGGTGCCAAATAGTGTATTCTAGTTAAAAATTTAAATTTATCCAAAGGTACTTGCTCAGCTTTAATTCCTAATTCATGCTCTAATTTTCTTTGAGCTGCACGAAGAACTCCTTTAATAATATAATTATTAGTGTTTTCATGCAAGAGTGTTAGTTTAAATATTAAATGGTCATTATAATTATTTACCAATTTGATTTTCTTCTTCTAATTCTAATTTAGTATTTAATGGGTGAGAGCAACATGTATTTGTCCAATTATTTGGAAAGGTGATTTTATCTGATGATCTTTGTTGTAATAATAATTTATCCTCAGAATTAAATAAAAATACAGAAAATGCTCGATGTAACAATCCTTCTTTTATATTTTTCATGAGATGACCTTTGATATATATGTGTGTGTGTGTGTGTGTGTGTGTGCGCATGTAAATAAAAATATATACATATATATACTGTTAAGTTTAGATATATAGCTTACAATTTTTTTTGGTATCAGATCCAATTTTTTTGTCATTTTCATCAACGAGAATACACATTTCCTCCATCAACCTAATTTGCTCTTCATCATATTCGTCAAGGTTTACTGCCATAATTTATTTTTTTTAAAGTTCAAAAAGAAAATAAAAAAAATAGTTATATATATTATGATGAAATGTATGAACACTTGATATAGTATGATCGGCTTGAAAATATTTTTTCAACGGACATTCTTTACTAATTATCGCGTTTCATTTATATCAGTCACGGGGCATGTCACGGAGAGTTTTTTTATATGGGGAATACTGCAACAAAATGAACATTTTAATTTGTCTTGCCAATGTAGTGTGATTATGATTTAACAATACCTGCTTTTTTTTTTAAGTGGTATATGAAACTCATTTATAAAGATCTGATCGCGTAACTCAAATGAGCACTTGGCTAAACTATTTAGTCATTGTTAAGTCAAAATGATTGTTACTAAATTAGGTTTTTTAACAATTTTAGATTGATTTAATTTGTTCTGTACTGTATTAATGGATCGAGATCCAAGAATGGTTTACTAATAATAATAATAATAATAATAATAAAATTCTTCTAATTCCCCAAACTACATTTTTAATTTAAAATTTTTTAGTTTATAAAGGATATTATTTAGTGATGGCGGCTGAAACTATTTTTGGAAAAAAGATAGTTTCGCTTTTATAATAAATAACAAACATATATATAAATCAATCTACTTTAAAAATAATTTCGCGCAATTTCAGCTATTATTAAAATTAGTTTTGCCTGAGTCTAGGTCAAGAGGTAATTTCGGCCCACTAAGTAAGGTAGTTTCGGCCATCATCACTAATATTACTATTAATCGATAAAAATAATGTTGACGAATAAAAAAGTAATAAAATTCACAGTTGCGCACAATTCATTAATAAATTCATTAAATCTAAATAATGAATGTAACTAATGATCGATGATGTTTGCTATTGATTCGAATCAAATCGAATTGAATCAAAGTATAATTCGGATTTGATTCTGAATGAAACGAATCAAAATTAGGTGATTCGAACCGGTTCGAATTTCATTGATTCGCTCGGGACCTTATTCATTTATAGCTTAATGACGATTTTGTCCTTGCTTTCTTTTCTTTCTCACATAAACCAATTATTTTTTCTTCAATATCTATTTCGTAGATAATCACATCAAACTTCCAGGAAGACCAATCAATATCCATGTATTCATTATTAGTTATAAATCATGGTTGTTTATAACTGTGGGATGGAGGTGAAGAAACCATAGGATCTGTAGGTGTTGGATAAGGCTCCACTTCATTACTTGGATTGTTTAAGGTATTTGAAACATTCACTATATTTTTGTTTGTACAGTCGGAACTCGTTAAACCGGTGTGCTTGTTTTGGGCTCAAAATATCGTTTTATCGAATTTTCGTTTTATTGAGTAGTCTTCGATAAAACGAAGTTATGTATTTTTTTAAAAAAAATTCGGTTTTAAAGAGTTAGTTATACATCAAAATTTTATATGCTACATTGAAGAACAATATGTACTACTGTAAATCATTTATAAAATTATACAAAATAAAGCGAAGTTTCTTTCGATAAACCGTATTATTTGTCTTATCGAGTTATATTTAATATATGTGGAGCCATATGCAAACCCCGTCTTAAACATTCAAGTGAAACAATAGGAATATTCGTCCTATTGAGTTGATTTTATTAATAAATGAATAGGGAACTAGAAAAACTTCGTTATAACAAAAATTCGTTTCATCGAGTCACGTCTTATCGAGTTCCGATTGTAGATGTATTGGCCTAAATAGTGAAATAGAATCAGTTCGCAAAATTTGAGTCACAGCCAGGCCAAACTTTAGTCCAAATACAAATACGATCTGATTTTTGCACAACACTGTATTAGCAGGAACACAATTTCAATGTGAACTACCATACCTCATCTTTCTCGTCCTCCTTGAAAAAGGATTTCCTCCAGCATCCGCAATTGTTTCTTGATGTTCACTTAAATTGAATGAGTGATATAGATAGCAACAAATGACTTTGAGAGTGATGTAACTTACGTGCATGATTTCTTTTGTGGTGAATTTACTTCAGCTTCGCCAGTTTCATTGAAAGCTCTAGATAATCCCTAGAGATTATTTTTTGAAAGTTTTGTCTGCCAGCAACACAATGCAAATCCATACTGTTCATAAGATGTATCCGGTTTAATGACATCTGCTTTACAAAATATGAGGTTAGTTGTTCATAATAACAATTCACCATTTGCATAAACGTCACTACCAGGATAAAAATCTGTAAAGCTTTTTTCTGTTCATAAATCAGTTCTTCCCAATATACCTGAAACCTCTTATTTGCATGCTCAGTTTTGACCCATTGAATAGAAATATAAATGAGAATATATGCTTATTTCCATCAAAAGTAAAAAATTAAGCCAGTAGAGAAAATAAGTCAGTCGTAAATAGTGGTGGCTGGGATGAGAGCTATGCTCCTAATCTGGATAAAAGCAGATGGAAGTTCACCAATCCATTGCTTGAGTTGATACGAAAACCAACAATCTTAATCTGGATAAAAGCAGGCAAGAGCCCCCTTAAACAAAATATAAAGATACATTACTCGCAAATTTGTTGGATTAATCTCTTTTGCTTTGAATAAAAATCTACCGACCCAGGTGCTCATATCAGCCGATTTGGTTTTTTGGGCCTTTTTTCAAACCTTATGTCTTATTGTGTCTCGATGTTAAACACGAGTATTTTTAATGTGTAAACTGGTCGGTAGAATGATAATTACCCTAAAACAAATTATTTGCACCGCTAAAAAAACTAATTTACTATCCATCAACCCGTCAAACCAATGGGTTTTTGCTAGTATAAAGTATTCATAACGTTATGATCATACCGTACTGGATTTTGGGGTGATTTTTGGTATTTTGTATCGTTTGTTGAAAATACTTTTGAAAATTTCGTCCACAAGTATAGTTTTCCCATTTGTGTTTTTGGAACCAACTATATTTATATGCTAAAATGGTAAAAAATTGGGTAAAGTTTTTTAATAATCCGGTTTTCGAACCGAATTTATGTTGCATCGAGATATTTCTATCATTGTTACTATATATTGATGAAAAAAAATTCTTTTAAAAAACCTCCAATTATAACAATCGAAATGATACCATTAGTTTGCTCTTTCATAATCTGTTAATCTGTTAATCTGTTCAAAGTACGTTTTTACTAAAAATTAAGGAATTTAATGCATCAGGATCTCTATTTTTTTTTTTGTCAGTGAATGAAATACCAAGATGACCACCTGCTAGCACTTCACTTTGCATATTTGCTAAATTTTACTTAGAGATTGGCACCGTTTAAAAATTCTTTAATCGGTTAGCTAACCGTTAACCGGTTAAATTAACCGTTAAACTGTTAATTTTTTTTAACCGGTTAACCTGTTACATATGTACGAACAAAATTACCATTGCCATATTTAGTTAAAGTAAAATAACTATTATAAAATTTTCATAAATTTAATTTTCTTTTTACAATAAAAATCATTTCTTTTTAAAATAAACAATTTCAGAACTTAATCTAGTCCTTTTGCAGTTATTTGATTACCAGCATCGTTAAAAAGTCTTTCAGATGGCACAATAATATTTTTGTTTTATTATTTGGTACACGAAACTTAGGATCTATTTTCTTGGTAAATCTTTTAAAACCTTCCCGTGTAGCATATTAAAAGGTAAAGAGTCTAATACAACCTATTCGGCCACAGCAAGATGTAATTCATTCATCTTGTGTTATGGATGTTCTTTAGTTTTTTCAAACACATTGGTTGTTTTAAATTGATTTTCTAAAAGAACTTGAATTATGATAAATAAATACATTATTAAACAAATAATGTAAAATCTAAACATACTTTAAGATTAAATAAAATTTGATGACAATGCTTTAAATGATAATTTAATGTTGAAGTTGATGTGTCAGAATTAGCATATTTTGCACCACATTTGATTTCTGTTCGAGGATTGATAATAACTTTGCAATAATATTGTTTGCTTTTTCTTCAAAGTAATCCCAGACTTTTGATTTCCTTTAACTTTTTTTTAATGTATTTCTTATTATTCGCATTATCATCCACAATATCAATTACATTCCCAGTTTCACTTTCAAAGTTTGCATTTAATTCTTCATTAACATAATTCTCAATAAAATCTAGACAAAATTCATATTAATTATAAAAACAGATAATTATTCAATTGTTTTAATGTTGAATGAGTGAATGGATTATATGTATATTGCGGTTATTTATTATTTATTTGTTAATTTTTTACCACTACACAGAATTAACCGGTTAAAAACAAACTTTAACTGGTTAACCGTTTTAACCACGGTTAACGGTGCCAATCTCTAGTAAAAATTTTACTTAAAAATACCATTTGAGTTCATTGAAATTAAAAGTGAACAAACTTGGAGATGAGCACCAGGAAGTAAAGTAGTTGGGTGTGTCACTATACTTGCCAAATATAATCTATCACTCTTTAAATGAGTATTCTGTTTGTGAAAATCATTCATTACCATCAAATTATTATGACTGATAATACTCTCGAGAAATTAAAATTAGCATTTTCAGCTCTTCGGGATCAAAAGGAATTAGACTTACATCTGATAAAAATTTCACAAAACCTTGAAGAAACAAGATCAAGATAGCATTAATAATACAGTGTGTAACAAAAAAAACTGGAAATCTTTTATTTATTTGTTTTCAATAATGGTTGAATGAAAATAGATAAAAATATATCGAAAAGAAAGCTGAAAATCAGAAGTTTTTATTA